CAGCTTGGGGACTAGTGGACACTGAGCAAGAAATTACCCTACTGCTTTACCTTTACTGGCATCCAAGCTGCAGAATGTGGGCCATTTGCAGTCGGACACAAGACTATTCCCATGATCTTTCAGATTACTTTTAAAACAAAACTACTGGAGATTCTCTGTGGTTGTTTCTGTACTCTTTATATAATAATTGCAGGCGACTATAAAATATTATTATGCTCATCATCATTCAACATCAGTTAAGATTAAGATCGAATATTGTAAAAAAAGTAAAAGCGTAAAAGCGAGATTCATTTTTCTACAATATCACTAAGGAATAGAGATGATTTGGTGTCAATGTTAGACGGTCTCACTGTCATCACAATTGTCACATTCTATCGGCGTCGACTGTACCTCGTGAGGGAAAAAGGGGGATATAACTGAGCGCACACTCGGTAGAGTTAATTTGATACCCATCACACACCATATGCCCGCAACTATGGACCTTACACGTCTTCCTTGCCTGCAAGGTCCCGTGATAATGGGTAAAGGTCAATTTTAGGTGAAATATTGGTATAAAAACTACGCTAAGAGCTTAAGAATGCCATAGAATAATAGGATGAATATTCAACCTATTTAAAATTTAGTTTGTGATGCGACTCTTAACGCTAAAAAAATAAACTTAAAAAATACTGAATGTGTTGAAAGATGCGATGTATAAATTGGAGAATAGTATTCAATTTAATAACTAAATAATTTACACTCTCAAGAAATAATTAATGTTTTTCTCAAGTAAGTAATTTCAAGGTAAGAGGTCCAGCCGCTAGTCTGGACTGAGAAAAACTGTAATTATGTATCCAATTACAAAATATAAGCACTTGCAGGCCACTCGAAACAGCCCGAACCGTACAATTACACTCATTATAGGGAACTTCTATTGGAAATAGTAACTCGGGTAGAGTCGATACTGTTTATCGATTTCATAGTCTTTTGATTAGTCGATGGCATTTTGACCTGGAAAATGAAACGGCGCGATTGAGGCTTGGTGTTGTAATAATAATAATTGTGATAGAATTTATCCCGACTACATTAAGCCTAATTTCTTCAATAATTAGTCGGTCAGTTTTTCAGTCAGATAACAAATTCGTTCATCCCTTACAAAAAAAAAAATACTGATGACAATTCCCGATCCAATTCTTCAATAAAATAATTAGTCGGTCGAATGACAAATTCTTTCACCCCATATTTAAAATACTACAATTTATCGATATACATACAACATAATACCATTTATCGATTCCTAATTGGTTGGAAATCCAAGTCTAGATAATCGATACGCACAACACTAGCACAAACACAGCGAGAGCCTGTTTTCCATTTCTGTAAGACTGGGCGCTGTAAACTAGCGTACCTACACGCTAACTCACCAGGCTAGCAAACTAAGTGCTAGTAAACCTACAACTATGGGACTGTGTCAATTGCCAGTATCGGATGCTTGTTTATGCGACAAGGTGAAAAGGCTTTCCAATCGCATTTGACAAGTTGCATAAAATACTGAGGCTGCAAGTAGACATTATGATTGCATGAGGAGATACGAAAAATTATGACTTCATGCAAATATGTATGTAAATTCTAATACGGATTTAGTACCATTTATTTAAGTAGCTGTGTCCGTAGTCGTACGCATTGAAATCGGTCCCCATCCTGTAGTTTAGCTAAGCTAAGAACTCTATATTGAGTTGCCCTAATAAATGGATCAAGCTATATTTTTCATGTTAATGTCACTTAGATTTTAGTATGGATAGGATACAGACAATATTCCAAAAAACATGTCTAATTTCTATTCAATATTAACAAAACTTCAGAAATTACTAAATTGTCATAGGTATAGTTTCATCAAAGTTAATGCAAAACATTATTTAGTTATTAACATCAAATAAGTAATGCAAATGAAAATAATTTCAGATTCGTTATTGCTATTAATATGAAAATCTGTAAACTAGAAAAACAAGATTGCGGGGAAGATATTATTAAGTCATAAACTATGTATAGAGTCTTCACCGCGACCATTACCACCGGTCCCTGCAAGGTTTCTAATGAATTCTATCTACATAGAGATTCCCATTTCTCCGCGACATCGGATATCCTGGCCACTTTGACAGTTTTAATAAATTTATCCGACCAAGTAAAGTATGAGTAAGGTGCTATAAAGGTGAGTTTAGGCTGGAACAATTACCTACTTGTAGAGTTGTAAGTGTTGTGACTGAATAACCAACCGCTCTATGATAAGTTCCTTTCACAAAGCAAACGTGCTTCGGAAACTGAGCTTATGCCTGTGCTTATTATACCATTCATAAGATTTTTACATTACATATCTATGTACTTTTACCTAACGAAGCTCAAAACTCAATTCAATTTAAAGCTTACATTGAGACTTTTGGTTCTTTGAATTTCATTAGAAAGAGACTAATCCTGTGATTAAATATCTTTTGATATACTTTATTATTAAGATCGAGATCGAATCGCGTTATTTTTCTGTATTGTCGGTATACAATACCGACTTAAGTTATGTGACAGATTAAGGCCGTATTATTTAATTTTTCTAATTAATTAATCAATACTTTTGTGGCTGCAGCCGCAGGCGAAACTCGTCGATTTTTTATGTAAACCAATCAGGTCAATCCGTTATGTATTTTATAAATATTCAATTACCCAACAGAGTGAAAATCTAGAAAATAAGTAATAACTTATTTGTTTTACAATTTAGAAAGTGTGATCATAGTATCAATCGACAGGCCTTAACACCGGATTTATAACAATTTTCTATTAATTTTAACACGCTCATAAGACATTATTATTCATAACTAAATGATAATGAAAGCATGTAGAATAATAATCATGAAACGTCTCGCTATTGGCCAGCGAAGTGTGTAGAGAAAGTACATACCTACCAATTATTTATAATATCTATCTTAAAAACTTCAATTAATATGTTATGTATTCGTCGAAAATATTGTCTTTAAGGATTTATAAATACAAAGAGCCAAGCAAAACAACCCCGATAAGAAATTCCAGACCACACTGGAGGTTTTACCTTGGAATGTAAGACAAATAAACCTTCAATTTAAGTTCTAAAAGTTATCTCGAAAGTCTCATAAAAGCTCAAACAGGAGCTTTTCATCAGAGCCATATCTAAGTTATTCAAGGCAAAAAAGATTTTTCACTGTTGTCTGTATGTTTCCACAGATTCCTAACATTTTTATATTTTTTATAACTTTTTAGAGGTGGGGCTGAGAGCTCACACTAATAAAACTCATAATTTTTTTGCAAGTATGCTTTTAAAAAGCTGTAAATCTCGGTAAATAATACTATCCTATCCTACCTGTTTCCCACGCTCCCGTGTAATTGTGTAGAAGATACAATACTTATCTGGTAAGTATCTGTACTGTACTGGTAAGAATCAGTAGAATGGGTAAGAGATACAATACGTACCAGGTCCAGCCTCAAGCTGAAAGACACATGCTTGCGCTGCGGCGGCGCGGCGGCCGGCGGGCCGTCGTAAAAGGCCGCTTCCTCCAGCCCATAGTCGGGCTCCGGCTCGCCCCACTCCAGCTTCATAGCGCTGGGGCTGGAACAAAGAAAACATAAATTGAAGGTAAGTTATGGCTAAAGTAAGTTAAGACTTCAGTCAGCCAAAAAGCTTACACGACTGAAGTCTAGTATCGAACTCTCCCTAAGCGTAAGAGGAGGGACTTCCAAAAACTACAACTCTTCTAAGTCTGACGCCCGTATTTACAAACGATGCTTGCTTTGAAGCAGCAAATCGAACGCACAGCGTTAAATAGAGCTCTGTGATTGGTTCATGTGTCGCACAGTGGGGATGCGTCCACGCGCACTGTGAGACCTCATAGTAATGTTTGTTAATACGGGTGTGAGTCTTCTTTATTTATGTTACACGTTAATCTATCTTACATAATTTTAGCACCTTGAGGAGACACATAGTGAACCTATGTGGCATCAATATTCGAGACTCAGTATAGCTTTGACTGAGCTGTGATTAATCAGTCGGTCAGAACAAACGGTTTTATAAATAAAGACTTTTAACTGATGCGTTGATTTTTTTGCAGATGAAACAGCGTACTATTATGTCAGACCCAGGTTAAATATAAACCCAGCAGTAAGTGATTCATAACATCTGATCCTGGAAAACGTGACTAACAGAAGGAATAAAAATATAATTATTATTTATTAATATTTATAAAATAGCGGCCGCCCGCGTCTTCGTACCTACGCGTGGACACCGTTCAACATTAAAAAAAAGAATTGGTAACATTGGTCCAGGCGTTGTTGAGTTAGGCGCTTACCAACACATTTGGCGATTCTATAGATTAAATGCTTCAAGCGTTATCACAATATTATGTAGAGTCCATAATAATATGTCTTGCCTAGTTTATGTCTAGATTCCTAAATATCTTATGTTTTCTGTTTCAATATTTTGCACCTACAACATAGTTGCAAGGCTAGCAGCTCAGATCAGAATATGATTACACGTTTTTTTAACGTCGTGTCATTATAACTTACGACCGGCGTAACCGCTCGCCATCGCCACTAGGGCTTCGCCAACCGCAACGGGAACACCAGTCTATTCGGAAAACCAAAAAACTCCTGCTCACACTTCCCTCCCGCTCACTCCAACGACGAATAAGGAGACAACTATAGGTACAGGTCCGCGTTAAGTTTCTTTTCAGGGTAAGCCGAACCTGTTTCCCATCTTGCAATACATCACCCACTCTATTGAACACATTACGGTTTATAGACACCTTTATGGGACCGACTTTATGGGTTACTTGAGATTGACTTGGTAATTCAATTCTATGAAGTTGCGGCGAAGATTTGTAATTGATTTGGAGTTAAGTTTGATGCAGCATCAAGCAATTAAAAAAAATATCAGCATAATTTAACCGTGTGAACTTCGATGGGAAAGTCTTTAACCCTTAATTAGTCGCATGGGGTCAAAGCAATTTCGGATTCAAAAATGAAGCACTTGGCGCGGCCCGATTTCCACCGCGCCCCCAGTAGCTTCATAAAACACGTCTTAGTTTGTATTTTGATAGGGACTAATTCACGGGAGTGGAAGGATGCGTCGCTGCGCTCTTGAGTGGTGACCCCATGCGAGTAATTACGTAACTTTTTTGGAAGAGGTAAGTTTTTTGTTTTATGTATTTATTTTGTGTATTATGAATAATATTTGTGTTATTGTATATTCAGTGAATAAATGTTTGTTATAAATGTGTTTTTACAGCTCTAAACAATAAAAATATTGATAAATTCAGTTTTACTACTACTTTGTCTTTTTTTTTCAGAGTTAGTAGAGATAGGAAAAAATAGCAAATTGTGCAATGGTTGGAAGATGCTTCTGATGAAGAAGAAGTTGGAGGGTCGAGTTCTGAGCCAGAGTTAGATGAAATAACAAAAAGTGATCATGATAGCGCTAATGAGATCGAGTAATCCTCCGCACAATCAAGTGAATCGAAAATGCAAGAAATGTACAAGATTTGTGTGCAATGATCACTCTGAAATATACTGTCAACAACGTAACAAGAATGATTCAGAGAGTTCCTAAAAAAATACTAGTATTACCTTTGATCTCAGTATACCTAAGTACAAATTGTTAATTATTGACAATTATTTTAATTTAGCTTGTTTTTGTATAATTAGTAAGAAATTCATGTTATTACCCATAGATATTAAAGAATAAATAAAGCATTTTTATAATAATATAGTTTCATTTACTTATAAATTTCAGTATGTATTAAAAACTACTCATACAATTTGGGGTCATCTGTGACCCCATGCGAGCAGTTATGTGAGATTCTTTATGCGAGTAATTAAGGGTTAAATAAAAGATGAAATTCACACCACCTTATTAACCATCTTAGAATTACTAACAATTATGTACTTGTATAAACTTGACAAGACAAGGTGCTTACTAGACTGTTACTTTTATCCACTACCACAAATCCAAATCTCATTCTTAGAACGTATTAATATCCCATCAAAGCGATCGGAATTAGTTAACACTTTCAAACGTAACGAGATGATCCGGCGGAAACGGTGCTTAAAGACACGTGTAGCGAAAACTACCTTTAACCCTAAAATAGCTTATACCCTTATTATGTTTCAGATAGAGCCGAGATTGTTATACCCTTTCGAAGTTCCAAATCGTGACGGTCCTCGTAAGGTTGTCACAGAATAGCCAAGAGCGGTATAGTAAATGTGTCGTCGGCAAATTCGGTCCGTGTGATGCCGTTTCGGATAATATCCGGCGGATACGATCCAAGGATCCGACACCATCACGGACATTATTGTCTCGTAATTGAGACGGCGTGTCGATTTATTCGGTGTGCCAGTAATTAACTCGCAAGGGGAGAAACTGATTTAGAGCGACGCTTGACATGAATTCAATGAAACGTCCTTAAGGGTTGCATTGCGATCCCTGAGGGGTCTAGTGATTGATACCATGCATATAGATTTTGGTCTATGAATGGATTAGCTTAAATTAAATTAAAAATCAATGGTGATCTAATCCGAGCTAAATAAAAAACACAACAAACACGTTATCAATGATAATTTTGAGGGAAAACTATTCAACAACTGTAATATCACTAATAAAACGTAGGTACTCACTCATAGATATTTTGAATCACGCCTATAAGTCTATCGGGATGTTCTAAATCTATTCACCTTATACTGCGAAGCAGTCACGTCACCGGAGACAATACGTAGAACCTGGATTGAATAATTCAAAGCATATACTCGTCAAGCAGCCGAAAATAACTACGCAAGCCATATCGCTATCTAATCGACAAATGATAAAAATTCTAACACGTCATTTCTACAGACGGTTCGGTTAACAAAGTTCCCTTCTTTGAACAGTAAGCCTTTGATTTCAATATTGCCCCAGGAGTTTTGAGGAACAATTCATCTAAAGTCCTTCAGGATAAGGACGATGTTGGTCTGATATGCCAACAGATGTTTTATTTGAGGATAAGGTTCCCGACCTACGGATTCGAGCTGGTAACAGATTTGCACGCAATTTCGCATGTTGACCTGCGTCGCATGATGGAATAATCGGTTTATTTATGCCTGAAGTGAAAGCATTTCTACAATATTGGTAAACGAATTTCTCAGAATATTCCAAATTGCATTGCGTTTTGAGATTCCATGCGATTCATGCGGCAACTTTGTCGGAGATTGGCTGAGAGGCGTTGGATGCATGGAAATACAACATGGACACGTCTACTCAATAAGAATTTAAAATATTTTAATGATGGTGATGATGAAGCTTTAGTGTTAAAATCATGGACCTATAAAAAAAGTCGGACGGATTCTCATCAACAAAATACTGTGACATTAGGATACACCAGCTTGCCTGTACGTACAGGCCGGCACGCACACATTCACACCCTGTTACACCACTTCGAGTGCAAACTTCACACAGTTGACACATTTAAGCAGCGAAAAAACAAAACGAATACGACATGTCTTATGTGATGAAATTGTGTAAAAAACNGTTTTAGTGGGATATAATTTCATAGGCTTTGATCCTTCCCAAAAATGTGGAACTGCGAAATTCAAATTTTCTTACATTGATTGCAAGTCAGTGTCAGGTTGTATGTTAAAAAAAATCTATCAGAGATAATAATAATATATTGATGATGTATAAGATTATGATTATAATGTACACAAGATTCGTAATTTGTAACTGCGAGAATCATTTTTGATCATCATTATGTACATACCCTGACACACTGACTTGCAAACAATGTAAGAAAATTTGAACATTGAAAATTTCGCGCCTACCTCAACGCATTCACCTTTCACCCTTTTAAAATGGCACGGAATAATTCTGTCTACATTTCCAAGTAACATCTGCCGATCTATGTTTTTCTTAAAATAAATGGGTAACATGTTTTGGCTAACATGGCATCCCTAAATTCACTCACACAATAGACAAACGCCAAAATTTTGCGTCACAGTTTTGTTGTAGCGCGAGTTCCGTCCGCCTTTTTTTATAGGTCCATGGTTAAAATGTTAAAATTGCTTTATTTCATTTGAAGTTTGAAGTTTTTGTTGAATTTACGTCTTATTTTTACCAATCATAGAAAAAAAACTCTTTTATCTATCTCTTTGCCTCACTAATTTTCATTATGGTCTGACCTCTATGGATGTCACTTTGATTCAATATCAAATTGACTGATTCATTCAAAATTCCAAACAGTTTGAAATACATTATTTACATCGAGAAAATAGTCTAAAATGGCAAAACGATTTACGAAAAGCAGCATAAATTGGGCGGAACTCGAAAAAAAAGTACCACCAGAACAGAGAGTCCAGTACTTCGCATTTAAAGCCAAATCTGATGCTTATCTTCGACGGTAGGAAACAATGTTTATTTCCGTTCTTCAAAATACCATATTCATATTTATAGGCAATTTTTATAGGCTTGTAAAGGCGTATGATCAATCTACACTCAAGATTATAATGGAACCTGGTGGTTTCTCTAATTGAAAAATCAATCAATCATTGGCTTACCAATGCATGGAATTAAATGGCGTCTTTCGTCTTTTTTAAACGGATGTTTTCTAATTGTAGGGTACTAGCTCATCCCCCTGAACCGCCAAAAATTGATTGGGCAGCGTACTCTAAGATGGTGCCTGTTCCTGGCCTGGTGGACAAACTGAAGACAGAGTACGAGAAGTTTCAAGTACCCTACCCGCAAGACACGTTGTCAGCTAAGGTCGACGAGCAGTGGAAAGCATTGGAGCCCGAGATCAAGAAGTTCTGCGCTGAGATGCAGGTGGACATTGACAAGTAAGTTCCAGCGTTTAACCTTTCATATTATTTATAGCACACCGACGATCTGGTGAAGGTCACGGGAGGTGCCTGGATGCGAGCGGCGCAGGACCGTTCTTTGTGGAAATCCTTAGGGGAGGCCTTTGTCAAGCAGTGAACGTCTTTCAGCTGAAACGAACGAACGAATGAACGAACGATGCTTTATAGAACGGATCCGGATGCAACACCTTTACTTTCGGGTTAAGTCTGGAATCTCGCTATTCAATTGGTTAATTCATCTAATTCAAATCCTAATAATATTTTGAAGCTTTTGTCTAAGCCTTCCTCATTATAAATGCCTAATTCACCAAGCCTATGAGAACTTGGTGCTATGTCTTCAATCCCGCGAGGCACTAATGTTAGTGTGACGTGATATACTTGCGGTTTTATTTACGTAAATATTCAACTTTTTCCAGAGCGACTAAAGAGCTTTCAAGAATAAGAGCCCTCCCCAAATTTGAAGAGATGACGATGGAGATGTATGCGGATATGTTCCCCGACCTGGCCATCGACCCCGTGAACAGGCCCACGTACTGGCCCCATACTCCAGAAGAACAAGTGGGGTATAAGCCTCCAGAGCAGAAGGTTGAAAAGAAGAAAGCGCCATAAGTAAAGACGTGTTTTTATGTTTGTGTTTTAATAAATATTGTTTAATGCTACCTTTTTGTTTTTTATTTGACAATGAGGAATTTTCAGTAGAAAATTATTTTAAAGTCGTTAGCTATTGTTGCAGTTCACATAGCCGTTCAATTGATCTTCGATTCGTGAATTTGTGATATAAACGTAGTAGGTACTATACTTGCTTTTATACATGCACCTCTAGTAAAATTTCGTTGGTATTCTAAATGACTTTCATGAGGTATCACGACTCAGCACGTGCTTAATCACTTTGAAAGCAATCAGCGTAAACGGTGACATGGGCGCGGTCGCCACAGAAAGTCCAAACTGCGCCGGAGTTACTGTGTTGTAGTGATTTGTGAGTAACATGTTCGAGAAAGAAATAATGCACTTTATTAGGGTTAAAGTAGTTGTCTTACCAAACAAAATGTAGTAAAAGGAACCTAAACGGTAACTAAAAATATCAACAACAAATTATTTCTTCGCGATACTTTTTCGATACTGGCTGTCGTTACATCTGAAATGTTCTTCTCTACATCTGTGGAGCTGTAGAGCACGAGTCGTATCGATTCAACTCATGAGTCCTAGCTTCTCGATTCGCGAATCGAAACATGACAGCCCCTGGGCGCAGTACTTCATGCATAAGGGAATGGGACTGCATTTAGTCTATATTTAGAGTCTCACTCAGGGTCGCCGCGGGGACATAAGCCAAGAACTCGCGCGGCAAAGTATGATTGATGATTGGGTAGCGTTTCACGCCGTCTTATTTTCGTCTTTATTAGTTCTCTGTAACTAGATATATGCGATTGGGTTAACCAATTTGCGATTTATAAATAGGACTGCCAACTGAGATAGCATTCGCATCGATTCATAACAGCCTTTAGTTTAGCACGCAGCGTGCGGAATGACATTTTGTTTTATGAGAACTTGAACTGGACCGGTAGATTTTTTGTAGATACATAAGTGGCCCTAGCAACAATTCAAGTGGTCAAGAATGCTTTTAGGACTGCATCCTCAATTTATAACTGAAATTAAAAGCCACATATGGCGTTGTATTTCCTATTAATATATTTGGAGCTTT